TTGTGCGGCAACATTTTCTCCTCATTGGCCCGGTGATCTTGCTTGTTGTGCTTTTGACAGCCACATGTGCTGCTGCTCTGCTGTACTGTGTATGGATTATTATTATCAGTATGGAGAAAAATAAATTAATCGTGGAAAAAATCCTCATTTTTATCCTCACCATTTTGAGGTAAATAACAGGAGTCCCAGGAGGATGTTTGTTAGATTTTTCTCGTTTTTGATTGGCTTGGAAATTGCTTATCAGATTTCTCACCATCACTAGATCCGCGATATACGAAAAGCCAGGATTTCCTTTTATTTGTTTTTTTTAGAGCTCTTTATCAGCAAATCTGGCAGTGTGAGTTGTTGGCGAAATGGCCACTGGGGCTGGACCCGTGTTCCAGCAGTGGTCGCCAGGGGGGGAGGGGGGATGGGGTCGAAATATTGTGTGAAAAAATTTTCGTGTTTGATTTTGACAATAAATATGAGTTATTAGCATTTGTTTAACCAGTAAGGTCGTCCTCGGTGGTATGGAGATGTAATGGAGTAAATATGCCTTTTCGGGTAAATGACGAATCTGTGTGTAGAATTTCTGGCATAACGGCATAATTTATCTGCCGAGGACGCGGAGCTCTTGGATTTAACGTGTAAGGGTTTTAGTGTGCGCTCAGGTGCCAAGGATCGGTTTTGCATGCGAATTGTTGAATTTGGTCTCGATGTAGTTGTGAGACTAGGGGTCTGTGCGGTAAATTGCAGTGGATTTTTTTTCTGTGGCGTTTTTATTGAAGATTGAAAATGTGGTCAGTCAGTGTTTTTTACTACTCTACAAATGTAAATTACTCTTGATATATTATCGATTTTGAGTACTATTTCAACTTGATGAAGGTCGAAATTTTTGATGATTGATGATGATAAGTTATGTTTTTTTTGCTAATCGTGTGAGTTTTTGACTAACTTACGTAACTTGTCACAACTGACTTTTGTCTTCGGCTATTTTCCAAGAGGAATGTTTCGCTTTTTCCGGGTCATTAGTTTGACCTAGCCAGTGGAACAAAAAAACAGGATTTTCTGCGATTCACACATTCGTTTCGATGGTAAATTGGTACTGGCATATGCCAGGGATTTGCTATCCACGAGATATTTTTGATTGCTAGTGGCTCCAGAAAAAAGGGGGGGGG